TTTAAAATAATTTATTCACTTATTTTGTAGCCTATTTTAATTAAATCGATAGCGTTAACAATCAACAAATGGACTTCTGTCTGATTAAATTTGCATTCAGATCAATAGTACTATCACATGAAAAATATTTAAGTTATTTATATAATCTTATAACTTATATGAAAAATAAATTAATAATAACGTAGTTATAATTATTTTCAGTAAAAATCGTACAAATTTTAATTTTTTTTTTAAATCTTTACAGCAATTATAGATGTGTTCATTTTCTAAAATAAATTACGATAATTTTTTGTTAATAAAAAAGAAGAACAGACGGTACGGTTGCATGATAAGCATATGGACATTGCTAGCAACAGGTGTTTTGTCAAACAAACAAGAGATTATTTTATATCTTGAAAAACTGCTCTTTTCGAGATAATGGATACGAATTTATGTCAATTGGGGGAATATTGTTAAAAATTGGTATAGATCTTTTGTATATATAGCGCAATATATGCTGATTTATGCCTAACAGGCTCTTTATTAACCCAAAGTCTTAAATTCAATTATAATTTTTAAAAGCCATCGAAGTTTGTTAAATTTTAATTCGGTAGAAAAATGTTTCCATTCTGAAGAATTCTGTATAAATAGAACCTTTATACCCTCGTGGAGAAAATACACGAGACGCTGATTATTTCCGATGAGTAATACTTATTAAAACAGTCAGTTTAGATAATTGGGAGAAGATAATTAGAGAGGTTCTCTATTGAACCATTGAATTCACTCGAATAATTTTGAGCTTTTGGGAGTAAATTTAAAAAAACTTTTTTTTAATCATCTTAAATATGTCGGTAGTCGATAGTTGTCTATTTAGGAAAGCATTTAATATGCAATTTCAGTGTATAAACGTATTAGATCTGTTTCAATATCCAAAAAATAAAGGTTTGTGAAAAATAATATTCCAAACTTCGACGTTTCGTAAGCCCGGAAACCCCAAACAGACAGTAAATAATGAAGAAGATGCAAATCGTTCTGTACAAATCTATAACTAAAATAATTTCTAAATTACCTTCAGCAGATCTCCTTCAAAAATTAATGCATAAGTTTTCTAAAATTCAAAAAATATGTCCTTGATTAACCATTTTAAGTTAATTTTAATACGAAATTATTAACGATTTTTTTAAAAAAATATTCAATAAAGTTCTCATAATTATCGTCATTACGTTTGCACGTGGTTCAATTTTTGAGAAATAATTTAAATATATTTCTTTTATTTGTTAGTACAAATTTGTAAATATGCGATTGTTGACGATTTATGTCAATATATCCAGCCAATTAAAAAAGTGAAATGTACTTAATTTTTTTTCAAATTTTGTACGTCCAATATCACAATACACCTACATTCCCAATTACAGACGCTTCAAGTTCCCTACAGTTCAAATCATTATACGAAATGTTAAATTTGATTTTATTCAGAGAATTTAGGATCATGTACGTCGATTAAACATTGACATGGATTGGAACAAATATCAATTTTGATTAGCATTTCAAAGAAATATGATTTGAACATTTGAACTTGTCAACAGCGCTAGACATTTACCATTTATTTTACATTGAAAATGCTTGACAAGATTTTTTCAAGAAATAAACTTTATTTATGTTTAATGAATTTTTATGCGATGTGTCAATATTTTTACCATCACTGGTTTTTTATTTTTTATTTAAAAAATCTCGGATTTGGTTAATACTCTAATTGACTGTAATTTGAGGACAAATTTGCCAACAATGAAAAAAGAAGATTTACAGTCAATATTAAAAGTAAATGTTGTAAATTGCTACATATGTCAAAAAAGAAGAATATTTAAGCTCGACAATATATTTCAAGAAATAGAACCAGCCCTTTGCTATAAAGAAAGCGGACGATGCTCAGATGAGTCTAAAAACCATTGTTTCTGATACAGCTTTTGCTATAGGAAAGGTAAACTACTATCATCAACCAATTTTAGCGATCTGTAATTCAAAAGAGGCCACTAACAAGCACAAAGCAGTAAACTTTAAAAGCACTGGAATCGGCGTTCATCGGCCCCGAGGCGAATAAACCCTGTCATTGAGTAAAATAATGAACTTTTGGGGTCGTACGGCGAAGAAATTTATAAGTTACAAAACCAATTTCTAATTATTAATAAATTCCAATCTAATTATTGTACGTAAGGGGATGTTTAATGAAGAGAATCGTTCATAAAATGTTTATTTGCAGTTTCCATGTTATCAGAAATTTTATATTATTATCTTAATTTTTCTTGCACTTTTTCTTAACTTAAATCAATTTTGCAATATTAATTTCCATTGCATTACTTATTGAGAGAGTGTGTTTCTTATACACATTTGTTATGATATTTGTTTTATTGCATACATGAAAAACACATTTTTCCAACAAATTTAATCTATTGCTTTTACGTTTTCGACGCCTAAAGTATACATTTAAACTTTTTGTAGGTTTATACTTGATTTTGTATCTTTTTATTATCACGCTATTTATTTTATTTTATTGTTTATTATTATTTTACAACAGCGCTAGACCGCTACAAGCAACTTGGTTATCTTTAAGAATTTTATATTATAAAACATCAAGAGAGGAAATCCAATAATTACAATCCTAACACATCACTATTCATTCCTTTACTAGGGAGGAAATCGCTAAGTCTTTTTAGGATTTTTGAAGGTTTTCTTAGTCTGAAAATGTTCTGGATGAAAGGTGTTGAAGTAGGAGATAGGGCTTAGGGCCCATGGTTTCATGGAGGTTGTTGCAGATTAGATCTAGATGTTGTAGATTGAAGGAGAGATTATACAGTAAAGGATAAAGAATATTTGTTTTTCCTGAGACTGATCCTTCAGTTTTCAACCATTCTTCTAAACAGGAGTGAATATCTTAGAAATTTCTGGAAACCTCTACTAGATTTGTGATGGCTGTATCGTCTGCATATGTGAAGAGTACTGTATCGGGATTGAGAGGAATGTCTCCAGAGTATAATTAATGGGACCAATGATGTCTTGTGGAATATCCCCTTCGGCATATTGGATGGGGAGAAGTGTTCGTATTTGAAGGTATTTGTCGGATAGGTAGGATTTTAGAATGAGTTAATGAGTGAATGGAACCTTGAGTTTCCAGAGCAAGTCCTGGATGTCACACTCGAAGAAAAGCTTGCGTCACGTCTTGGAAAGAACACGAGTAGCATTCCTTTCGCTCAAGGAAGGATGCGATGATGTCTACAACCCTGTGGCAATATTCAATGATCGAATAGTTTTGCCTGAACCCGAAATTAATAATAAGATATAGATTTGTCAAAGGGTCAGAAGGAGGTTTTCAAGAATTTTTCAACGGTAGCAAACCGTTGTGGCAAAATGACATAAGGAGATGCTGACGTTTTTATTGAATTGGTGGATTATTTTGAATCAAATCGGTTTTTATGCTGTAAAACATCTTGTTAAATTTTATATGTATTTTAATAATATACGGATGTAAAGAATTTTTTTAATTTTATACCACAACTTTCTAGATTTTTAACATAACATTTTATTAGGCATATTATATTGCCAGTCCACTGTATCTTCATTATTATATCTGTTTATAAGACTGATTCATTTTGATGATAGACGAGTGTGAATTAATTTAACATTGACTAATAGTTAAACTCACTAGTTTCGTGGCCCGCTTGACCAATTAATATCATACAATTAATTAAGGTTTTTTATCTAAACTAAAAACCTTAATTAATTTGTTGATATTAATTGGTCAAGCGGACCACGAAACTAGTGAATTTAATAAGTTTAAAATGAAGTATCCTTCACTAAAGCTCTCCGTGGCCATTTCATTTGTCGCCGAGAATCAAATTGATTACACGACATTTGAAAAATGTCAAAAAGGAGGGAAAATTCAAAAGGTGTAGAGAGATGGGAGGTTGGTGTCCGAGTGGATCGAGGTCACGATAGCTCAAGTGGTAGAGCAGCGGCGTATCAAGCCGAAGATCGTGGGTTCGAATCCCGCTCGTGCCATTGACTTTTTTATCTCAACTAAAAACCTTAATTGACAAATAGTTTCAAGCTTTAAACTTGGTTTATCAAGGTGAACTAAAATTAGTGTAATTAAACTTAGAATTGCATAAAATTTATTATTTAAATATTTTCTAATTTAAGGGTATCTACAAAAAAATCAAATTTATTCAATTTAGAAAACGAAATTCATCAATAACGACCTGGCCAATCAACTAGTTATGCTATTTTAACACACCATTGCAAATATTTTCATATTTTACTCAAAGCAAAAAATTAAAACAATTAATTCGAATGTCCATGAATTACCTGCCAAAAAGTACTTAATTAGTGCAGTTTCTAACTGTCATATAAATTATTACGGACCTTAAATCATTTATGTAATTTAAATAGTATATTACATATTCATTCAATATGTTACAATAATAAAATTTACTTTGATTCGAAATAAAACTTTTTTGTAATTTACAAGCATCGAAAATCCCTAACATGTGAGAATAATTGTTAAATTTATTTCAAATTAAATTTTTTCATTCCACAGTAAGTCAAATATCTTAAATTTAGAAAATTAAAGATAGTAACAACAACCTTGCCAATTAACAAGTCATATCACAGTTAATGAATAAATTAATAAATTATATTTCTCTAAATGTTTTTTCAGGAAGTTAAAATTTCAAATGGTCGTTTGTATAACATGTTTGAAAATTAGGTTAAATTATAAAATATCAAATTATGATAATCAAAAATTTTTGGACGTCCTTGAAAATAGTTTTTATTGCAATCTTTTGCGTTTTAAAATATTTTGTTAATATATTTATTATTTTAAATTGAACACAATTAATTATAATTTTATCTAATTCTGTATCCAAAACATTTTAGTTTTTGTAAGTCTAAAACTGTTCCCACCCCCTAGGTTTTTTTCCAGTTTCAGTTGTAATTAGTTGTTTATGTCACGCATTGATGTCACTTACCAGTGTGAAGAAGGACCATTGCCGATATGATGATAGCTGTTAGACGGTACATCACGAACAAGCGGCCGTCAGTGCAAGTCCCTTATTTATATAGGGGTGGCACCTCCTACACAATCGAGTGGGGGCGGCACCCCCGCGGATCCTGAATGCTTTTTTGACCCTCCCATTCGCCGTACGACAAACAGATACGTTTCTAGAAATTCCGCTGTTTCCTAGATTAACAATTAAATCTTCACATTCAGGGCACGCTTGCTTAGTACACCGAGCTTGTGTACTTCGTGTTCCTGTGCCTTTCGAGGGAACAGCTCATTCAAATATACTTATATCCCGCAATATTCACATTGCTAATAAAATTTATTCCCTAGGTTGAAAAAAATGTTTAGATTTGATTGTTAGGTTTGTTTATAATGATGTTTTCTTATAATGATGTTTGTTTATAATAAAATAATCTACAATTTTGAAATCGAATTTCCCTGGCGAACTTCAATAATTAACAGAACTAACTGAAAATCATTCAATCTTATATTAAAATGTGATCAGGGATGAAGCCAATTAGGAAAAAAAACACTGTCCCTGGCCTTTCGAAGAGCCCTTAGGGCGTCACGTGGTCATCGGCGTCTCAGTCGATTATCTGAGATGGTAGTGGAAATGTACTGACGACCAAGGCTTGGGATGTGCGGAAAGGGATTGATGGACGTTTTGCAATAGCTATTCGTTACTTCTGGAATAAAGGGCTTATTAAGGGCCCGGTGTAGGGTGAGGTTTGATACATAATAAGGAGGGTTAACTATTCTTAGGACTTTTGATTGAAATCTTTGGATGCGTTGGGAGATGATCCACAGAAATCGATACCATAAGGCTACATAGGTTTGAGAACCATTGTGCTTATTAATATTTTGTAATTTTGTAGAGAATCCATTATTTTGTAATAATGGTGATAACTCAGTGAGGTGAAGTCCCAAGTAACATAGTGTTCTACCTAGAGGGTAGTGAAATCGCGTTAAAGTAAACAAGGGGTAGTGTCATACGTCTGAGTGAGACGTTAATGAATTTCGTTGCACTTATTTTAATTCGCCACTTTTGGACTTATTAACTTTTTCAAAATATTAAAATATTTGTGATTTATTAGCGGATATTTCATATTTATGAGCCAATTAATTAATAATTATAATTCCATAGTCCTGATTAAAGAGATACATTTCTCAAACGCTTGTCGAAGGAACTGAGGGTGTTCTTTCTAAATGATATCATCCAAGATCGTCTTTCAATATATAATACTGAAAGCTAATCAATAATTATATCGTAGAATCATTTAAAATTATATGCTTTTTTTTGCAAATTTCCTCTTGTTTTTTGCGAGGCAGTAAACCTGTACTTTGATCGTTTTTCATCTTTTTGATCAACCATGAACACACTGATGATGGGGGAAATGCCGACACAAGGTTATCGCTAACGATCAAATTATGTACATCTTTTTTCATTTTTTCTTCGTTATTTTAACGGATATTAACCCAGACTTAGATGTTTTAACTAAAAAACCTATACAATAATGAAAAAGCTACATATTCATACATTTTTTCAATTACACACATCGGAAGAAAAATAATTTACTTTTTATTATTAAAACTTGTTTTATTATATTATTACACTTTTTCGTGAATTTCGAGTGTTGACAAATTTTATGTCCATAAATCAAATGAAATGAGTTTTTTTCGCACTGGCTCAATCTATTTTGATTTATGGTATGATCGCTTGGGGTGGAACAACATACTACTATCTTAAACGACGGTCACCCAGAATACACTCATTAAAATCATTCTCTAAAAAAATATCAGATTTTTACGAAACTTTTTACTCAGAACTTAAGGTTAGTAATTTAAATCAGCTGTTTATTAAATTTTCTTTTTATATTGTTTTAAACACAAAATTATACCTTTAAAATAACCTTCAATACATGTTACTAGAAAAAATCTTATGTTGCATATTTCTTTATCTAGAGTTAATGCAACGATTTTTTATAATTTTTCATTAAAGGTTGCTCTCATATTTTTTGTATGATCATCAAATAAGAATTAATTAAAATTCACTAGTTTCGTGGTCCGCTTTACCAATTAACCGCACGAGCGGGATTCGAACCCAAGCAGCGGCGTATCAAGCCGAACATCGTGGGTTCCAATCCCGCTCGTGCCATTGACTTTTTTATCTCAACTGAAAACCTTACTTAATTGTAAAAAATTAATTAAAATGATAACAATTTTTTGAAATTGAAAAACTTAATTTTTAAACTCATTGTCTCTGTTGGGTAGTGTATTATTTTAGAATTGCATCTAAAAATGGGCGCTAGTTTTTATTTTATTATATAGTTAGTTTTTGTATATAGTTTTTATTTTTGTACTATATTGTGTTAGAAGTTTTTTGTAGGAGTTTGTACAATTTGTATTTTGTGGCTATGAACAACCCTTGCTGTTACCCCAGGCATAGGTTTTTCACTAGGATACAAATTAAATAAAAGGATTTATTATATAAAAATAAATATTTACATTTCTCAATTAAAATATTCTTATCCAAAAAACGGTATAAATGGTAAATTAATTTGCAAATATTACCTTCGCATATAACCCAATATTACTAAATCAGCTAATATAATACAACATTTACATAATACACATATTTTCAAAGATACTTAGGCCATTTCTACAACCCTATGACTAGTTTACGAATATCACTTGATTTGGCAATTTAAATTAAAGAAAATTATAAAAACTCTAATGCAGGAAACACTAAACTTGCTTAGGAACTTAAATCATGTTAAGCAACTATTGTTATAAACTGCTCAAAATTGAATAGGGATGTTGCCAATTGTGGAGTATTTACTTTCCCTAGCAATTTTATTTTATTTTTATTATAAATTGCATTAACTTTTATTAGAAATAGCTGTTTTTACTGAAGGAAAATTTAATCGAGGGATTTTGAAAAATGACAAAATAAAAGGTTTTAATTCCATAATTTTGTTTATTGGATACAGTAATTTTTATTTAATTAATACCGTGTATAATGTACTCTGTTAGCTAAAAACCACTGTGCACCTGTTAGGCATTTTTTTTGACTGGGGCTTCCGACATCTAGGTCATTTCAGCCCCCAACTAAGTCTATATTCTATTTATCCTTTTAAACACTACATTCATACACATAAATACATCCATACAGTACACTCATTCCGTTTAGTCGGTGGAGTACTTGATATTCTTCCACCGATCGTATATTCAAACTAATCTAGATTGGGGTCGATGGAGTACTTTTATAAATATTACGCCATCGACCCCGAACACACACTCTTACGCTCTCATCGTTCGAGGGGTGATGATGACGTTATATTTCTCCCTCACGCTAATAAGTACATGGACTCAAACAAAACATATAGACACACGTACTATATACAATAAAAAAAAACCAATTTCCCCTAAAAAGCGGAACAGGGGACTCTGAAACTCGCTACCGTGTTCGAGAACTCTTCTTAAGTCAGGCGGCATGCCTACACGCTCGCTGCATGGAGCCAAGGCATGACACGCCTCTATTATGTGGGACACATCGAGCAACCTTTCTCTACATAAGGAGCACCTGCGCGGGAATGTTAGGCATATTGTTAATACGATAGTCACTAATTTCACAATGAATTTCATTCTACTGATGTTGCAACGCTACACTCATTTGTTGCAGATCAACTGGCTGCGGATGGTGACCGAAAAGCCTTTTCTGCAACGAATTACACATGTGCACAATGAGATTGAGGTCTGAAGAGAATGGTGGAAGGGGCAAATGGGAAATTCTCAGGTTTTCTAAACATTGATGAACAACTCTGCCTCTCTGAGCTCTGGCATTGTCATCCAGAAATCGAAAATTCCCGCCAATGAGATCCCTGGTTTAAGTGATGTATTCCTTGATCATTTCTTAGACATAACGGACTGCGGTGAGATTGCCTTAACAATGTGGAGTCCAGCTTGTCTTCCGGTGTAAATTCCAGCCCACACCATTACACCGCCTCCTCAAAACTGCAAAGCGCACGAATTGGGAGGATACGTATCCCATGTTCTCGGTAGAATCTTCAGCGCTAGCACTATATAGACAGACTCATTATTAAACCCAAAAGCATTCCGATGTTTTCTTCTAGGCTCTCGCTGCACCAATTCTCCTGAGTTGCTGGTGGCGGGCTGTTGCTGCAAGTCGTCTCAAAGGGGCATACGATGTGAGGCCAACTTCCCACAAACTATTCGTATTGCCTGTCATCCCTTAGTGTCGTAGTGCTGCTACTAGGCCTCCCTTTTGCACATCCAGTCTCTCTAAAGCACGGGATAAGACACTCTCTGAGAAACGCCAACTATCTCCGAAATATCCACTTAACTGTGACGTCAATGACCCATTCTCATAATTGCAAACTTCTGGTCCAAGATGATATCTTTCCATCGTTAAAGAGAATACAACTGGATTAAAATGGAGAGAAGACGGGAAAAGGTGGTTGTTTACAAAATGAGTAATCTTCATGTACATTGTTAAGTAAATTCGTTATTAAAACTGAGAATTAACATTTGTTTGCTTTTGGTTTGTATTTTCTATTTTGTTTTATCCATTTTAATCCATCCAATTGAATTAATAGAATATTTATTTAGAAATCGTGAGATGCGGTCTGGTGTGATGTAGGTTTCAGAAAAACATTTTCTTTATCGTGCCAACGTTTCGATCTTTATTTAGATCATCTTCAGGGCCTGGGATTTACAAACATTGTTTACATATAGCAATTACATTTTGGATGTGGAAAAGTGAATTTATACAATGCAAAATTTTTTTTTATATATTCAATCAAAGTATTTCTATTCTATTTTCTGAAACCTACATCACACCAGACTGCATCTCACGATTTCTAAATAAATATCGATTAACGGTCGCTAATCACCACACATTAATAGAATAATAATAAATTATAAATGTCCCTATTCATTTTTGAGCAGTTTAGTTTGGAAATATTATTGCGTTAAAATTTATAATAAAAA